TTTCCACCACAAGTTACTTTTGGTCATTCCCTTAGTTACTTTTCCGGTGCTGAGACAACTCACTAAAACACTATGACTAAGATGACTTAGAGAAGAAAGCATTGAATTGGGGGCAGGCAGGCTCAGAGTTCACAGGGTGAGTCCATCATGGCAGAGAGCATGGCAGCAGCCAGACAGGCATGGTGCTGGAGCAGTAGCCACGAGCTTACATGTTACGATAAGAACGTTGATGCCGAGAGACACAGCGAACACAGTGGGTACATGGACTTTCAAAAATTCAAAGCCCACCCCCCAGTGACACACCTATTCCAACAAAGCCACATGTCCTAACACTTCCCAAACAGTCCTACCGACTGTGGACCAAGCATTTAAATGTATGAGCCTATGGGACCATTTTCACTCAAGCCACCCCAGTCATGGCGCTATCACAGCAGTACTAAGTACAACTCCTCTCAGATCCACCCTGACTTCTTCTTTTTATTTTACTTATTTTATTTTATTTTATATAACAAAGTCCAATTAAATGAAAACAAACATTTATAGACAATATTTGGGAATTTGGGCGTCGTTCTTTCCAAACTACTTCCTGCTGGTAAGGGGCGCTGTCATGGGGGATTCGAAGAATATTCAGAAATCCTGGCTGTCTCTGCAAGGCTGCTTTGTCCAGCTGTTTTGAATGTAGGATCACCTGGTACTCTGTTTCAGGCGGTCTGGTGTGATCAAACCACATTAGTCTGGAAGGAATCCACATCTTTTCATTTTCTGTGGAAACAAAAATAGAAATCCTTTTCCCCAGTAACTTGTCCTTCAACTTAAATTTTGGAGTCAAAGCATTTTTTTTAAATTTAATTTATTATTTTACATGTTGATCCCAGTTCCCTCTCCCTCCCTCCCTCCCTCCCTCCCTCCAGTCCTCCCTTCCTCCTTCCCTCCCTTTTACCCTCTCTGCTCTCTCACATGCACTCTAACCACCCTCCCCTCCCATCCCCCCACCCCAATTCCATATGTAGGGGAATGCCATCCAGTTGGGGTCATGTAGATCTGACAGGTCCTGTGAAGTAGGGACTAGGGCTTCTCTCCTGTCTCTAGGTTAAGGCAGTTATCCCTCCATGGGGGATGTGTTCTCAAAGTCCTTTTGTGCACCAGGGATACATCCTGGTTCAACTGTCTGAGGTCCCTTAGACTGCTCAGTCCTTCTGGTTGAGACCCATATTCAGGGGGCCTGAGTCAGTCCCATGCTGGCTTCCCAGATATCAGTCTAGTGGCCGTTAGCTCCTCCTTGTTCAGGTAAGCTGTCTCTATGTGTTTCTGCCGCAAGGTCTTGTCCTCTCCATCTGCATCTGGGTTCTAGTTCGACTCAGTGTCTATGTATGCCACCCTGACTTCTATACTTAACTACCTTGTATTCTCTTGCACCAAGTGGCAGAGATGAATAGAGCATCAATCATCCTATCTGTCTTGCACACTGACAATACCATTCAAATTCTGATGATCTGGGCTATCCTATCCTTCCAAAATACCAAGATGAGGAGCCAGCACCAGGGTGGTCAGTGGCTTTCCCCAGAACCCTTGCACCACATGCCTGTCTGACAGGTAGGGCTCTGGGTCAGCTGGCAGGCTGTATCATCTGCTGTACCACCTGCTGGGTGCTGAGGAGTCCTGTTCTTTTCTTCTGAGTACCTGAACCCGCAGGAAGAGCTGTAGCTCCACAACTACTTTTTTCCTCACAGAAGGGAAACTCTGTTCCTATCAGCTACTGAAAGTTCCTACATTCCCCGGCAACTCTAATGGCAGGTAAGCTATAAGGCAGCTCTCAAGCACTGTGGGCTAGCTGTCCCCTCCCCTTCCTGAGTTCCTCCCATGGGCACAAAAGGAGGAGTGAGAGATTAAGGAGAGTTTGGGACTGAGAACCTGCACGCCTGCCTCCTCAAGGACCTTGGGGGCTCTGAGGTCGGGCTCCACTTCTTGCATTCATTCTCCAGGATGTGGAACCATCAGAGCCTCTGTGTCCTCTCTGCTGTAGGCTACAGGGAAGAGGGCTTCATCAGCAAAGTTTCAAACTCGGCTGCTAAAGAAGGCATTGTGCAATTCTGGGACTTCCCTGGTTCACATTTTGAAATTTCTAGTTAGGAAGAAAATTCAGGGTCACACTTAGAGAACATTTTGTACTGTATTTAGATACAAGTTCATTATTTGTGCCAAAATTGCAGGCAGTAATCCAATGCCATGGAATAATCTATGGGAAACGCAGGTTGGGCCCACTTACTGTAAGTTGGTGTTGGGTCTGGTGTGGGTTGTTGCTGCATGTGCTGGAGTGATGCAATGCAGTGTGGATCAATCTAGTTTATTCCCTGTGGGCCAAACTCAGCACCATCCAAACTGGCAGGCTTCACTCAAACCTTTGTGTCCTTTAAAATTCTCTTCCAGTTTTCCCTTTAAGTCTTCTTGTGAGATCTCATTCCACAGAGACACAAGATGAATGAACACAAGTAACTTTGTGTGATAATAAAATGAACAGTAAAGAAAAACCTCCCTGGATATACCTATCACACCCCATCCCCCAAGGCTCAGGGGTCTTCTTGGAGTAGGGAGCAGAAAGAACGTAAAAGGTAGAGGTGATGGATGGCATAAAGAAATGACTGCTTTCCAGACACAGCAGGGCAGTTCCACAGGTGACCTCACAGCGACTGTGACAGTGTGAATAAGACCTGTGCAAGCCCAGCATGGAGGGGCGAGGTGGGCACTAAATCCCATTCCTAGCTGAGAAACTATTGGCTGCTAGGAGGGGAAGGGTCAGATCTCTTCAATGACATGACCGCTTGTTGACCAACATCTAGGGCAGATGCCATCCCCAAGAGTAATTGGCTCAATCATACTGGACTTGATGGAGGGGGAAGAAGAAGAAGAAAGAAGAAGACGAAGAAGAAGAAGAAGAAGAAGAAGAAGAAGAAGAAGAAGAAGAAGAAGAAGAAGAAGAAGAAGAAGAAGAAGAAGAAGGAAGAAGGAAGAAGGAAGAAGGAAGAAGGAAGAAGGAAGAAGGAAGAGAAGGAGGAGGAGACCTATTGAGGTTGGGTGGATAGGTCAGTGAGAGTGGAGTTAAAGATGAGGTGTGAATACGATCAAAATGCTCAAAGAATTAGTTACACTATTGTTAAAAGAAAACATCCGTGTGAAGAGCTCTTCTGAATGTCTAGGAAAGAACTAACTTGCCTTCTAATATTTCTATCAAAGAGGAGGGTGGAGACTGGAGAGAGGATTCAGCAGTTAAGAGCACTGGCTGCTCTTCCAAAAGACCTGGGTTCAATTCACAGATATCACATGTTGGCTTTCACCCATCTATAACTCCAGTTCTAGGAGAACTGACACCCTCTTCTGACCTCCATGGGCACAAGACATGCATGTGGTTCATGTACATACAACCAGACAAAATACACATGGAATAAAATGAAATTGAAAAGGGGGGGGAGAGGGTAGGTCTAAAGAGCGGTCTTGTGGGAAGTGAATTTTGATCCTAGAATGGCTGCGGAGGTCAGTACATAATCACTGCAACAAATGTCTCTCACAAGGAAGTCAGAACAGCAAGGGGGTGGTTTTATATGCAGCCCTGTGTGAAACACTTCCCCAAGCAGGTCCACAATCAGGGATTGTGGGAGGTTGTAGCTGCTGCTCACTGCCTATTGCTAGAACAATATGAGCCTAGCCAGCCAGACCCCAGATCACCAAAGAATCCCTTTCCCAAGGAAATCATGGGAGGAGTAGCCCAATGTGCCTTACAGCTCTCAGGTCATGATGCCCAAAATAACTAAAATACAGATCAAACTTAGAAAAGGCCTCACTCCCAAAATCTCTAATCAAAGATAATATTCTCAAACATGGTGCCCACCCTTGCCTGATTGCTTCATCCTGCATCACTTTTACCAACATCCTCCTCAGCACCACACCCTCTGCCTCAAACAACTGTCTCTTCACGTCCATTCTTCTCAGCGGTTATTCATTTACAACTTTCACGGCTTGTTACATCTGCTTGTTTCTCCAATGAAATATTCACATGCCTCTTCTTGTAAAGATCTCTGAAGAAAAAATTCTGAGCTATTTCTTTCTGGCTGAGCTCTTTTGCCTCTACTACTGTCCTCCGGCTTCCAGCCCAGATCCCTTAAAACCTAGGAACAAATGTGATGTCCTCATCATACCTGCCGGCAGTAGTTATAACCCTTCCTTCTTTAGGGAAGTCAACACATTCAATTATTCTCATTTGATTAAAGGGGTGGGGATACAAAATAAAGGGCAGCCCTGCCCCATGGCCTGAATGGATTTTCTTCTAAGATAAAGTCTGGTAGAAAAACATACTGTTGTTTTCTAGCTCCATTAGCCATTTGGTGATGGTGTCTCCCAGCATTCCTGTGTTACACTTTGCCGCTTTCTGCCTGACTCCACTGTTAACAGAGCAGTCAGTGGGCCTTCCGCATGCATGCTTGTGAGTCACAACGCTGAAGCAAATTCCTGTACTGGTGTTTCATGTTCCTGGCTTCCCATATGTTCCTGGCTTCCCATGGTATCTGCATTTAATCAGCTCTCCTGGCTTCCACAGCAACTGATCGTGAATAAATATTCTTGATTCTAGAGAAGTCCTTTCCCATTGTTGAGTCCACCCATGTTGATGCTAAAATCAGTTTGTGCCTTCTTTTCTCCTGTTTCCTAGGCCCAGCTGAATTCTGAACTACGCTCTGTAAGGACCCAAATTCAGCCCTTGGATTTGCCATGCACCTACATGGTTATTACATACTCAGATTTCTTTTTCCAATGTTCATTTCCCTTCCTTAGAAATGTGCGCTACATCACTGGATGGAAAGTACTCATCCTGATTATCCCAGTCAGGATGGGGAAGACTCAGAAGGCCCTGACTTATCACATTCCTGAAAATGGCTGGATTGCACAATCTGGGAAAAGCAGATCTGTGTGAAGAGAAACATTTAAGTTCTGAAAGCTAAATTACAGCCAAGTGGGATTATGCCAGATCAAACAGGGGGTTGCTCCACTAGCCGAGTGACAATATATATACATCTGTCCCTTAGCCTCAGCCACATCTCCTCAACCAGTCACATCTGGAAAGGAACTAACAGCCCAAGGTAAGTTGTCAGAACTTTCCAACATATGTTCTTTTTAAAAAATAGTTATTTTTCTTTATATAGTGGCTTTCAAATTAAATACCTGAATGTTACATGTATTACATAGAATTGGTTGCTACATTGAATATTCTAATATTTAGAAAAACATTAAGAAACCAGTTTTTTCATAGCTGTCACACTTTAAACATGGTAACTCAAGTTTCATTTATACTTTTAAGATTATGCATCTGTCAGTATAAAAGTTTTTTTTTAAACACATGACAATTTAAAATTGAAAAGCCTGCTAAATATACATCTTCCCAAACACCAGTATGGTTTCTGTAACAACTGCCTCATACTTAATAATAAGTTAATAAAAAAATACGTAACATGTAGCATCCTGCCGAGATGACTTCTTTAGAAACAAGGACAATTGTGAAATCAACATCTTAAGTGTACCGCCACAAATAAATAGAGCATCACAGACTCACAGAAAGCAAAACTGCACAGAACAAGTAAAGTTTCCTTAGGCCATCCATTCTTCAGTTGAGGGGCATCTAGGTTGCTTCCAGGTTCTAGCTATTACAAATAATGCTGCTATGAACATAGTTGAACAGATGTCCTTCTTGTAGGAATGTGCATCTTTTGGGTATATGCCTAAGAGTGGAATTACTGGGTCTTGAGGTAGACTAATTTCCATTTTCCTGAGGAGCTGCCATACTGATTTCCAAACTGGCTGCAAGAGTTTGCAATCCCACAAGCATTAGAGGAGTGTGCCCCTTTCTCCACACTCTGAAGAACACATTTTTAAGCTAATAAACCAGCCTCATGACATATACTTTTTCAAATACATGGAATTCTATAGTCAACCCCTTTCCTCGTTGTAGAATCTATACCCACAATGCACTAATAAATATATACATGTTCTCAGAATCATACAAATATTTCATTTTTATAAGCTTAAATAATTACTGAATGTTAGTACAAGATACATTAATTAATATCTGTATAATTTTACATTCATAAAAAGTTTTCTTCTAGCAGCATTCCTACTGCAAATGAAATGTGACCAAATGGCATTGCACTAGGGCTTGAGTGCAAATCAGCCTGGCCAGCTGCAGTGTCCTCTGCAGGGGACAACTGTCCCCACCTACAGAAGAGCAGTCCTCACAATGCTCCAAAGCCTTGAGGGGTAAAAACATCCCTGACCCTAGACACACCTCCAAGTTTCCTCCACATGACCAGCGAAGTTTATGAAAGTGTCCCCCAAAGCCTCACACGAACTTATGGCGTTGCTCTGAAATATATCTATGTCCAATGTTGACACATTAAGTTAATTCCTAATAAGTTCCTGTGATTCAATTACCAACATTAATTCTTTGTGGATTCTTTTCCCTGCCAGCATTCATTTGTTTTGTTTCTGTGTTCTGTCTCTTTCCTGAATCTAGTAGGTGGATTAGAATTCATTGGAGACTGTACTTTTAGCATGGAGATTTGTTGTATGCTTCTGTGTGAATTCATGGAAGGGTGGATTCATCCTTCCACAGATAGACTGCAGAGAGCTATGATGGTTATAAAGCCCCCACAAGCCTCTCTGGAAACTTCCTATGCCATTGTGGTTTGGCTGGAAAAATTGGAGTGCGATGTGCTTTAAACTAGTGGTCCATTTGCAAAGTCTCAGACAGTGGGATTCTAATGAAACACGTGGAAATGGGGACTGGATAGCTCCCAGCATCCACTGTATCACCTGTATCTACGTGTGCATGTGGGTTTAAGTATGAACTGCAGTGGGGTTTGTTACTGGCATGCAAGGACAGCTCCACAATACAGAAGCGTCCCCCACCCCAAGAAATGGCATATTCATCCTGTGTTTTCCTGGCCCTACAGCACGATGAAGTCTTCCATTGCCTTCATTTTTTGCTTCTTGATCCTGGGCGTTGACAGCCAAAGGTGGTTCCAGTTCATGAAAGAAGCTGGTCAAGGTAAGAACAGAGGATGGGGGCAGGAAGTTGTATCTGTGAGTTCCAAGCACTTACCAGAGCAGGGACCACATCATTAAGGCCAAAAGAGCTTATGACATCCTAATGGATAGAGAAGCAGTGTCGCTCTTCCTACATAGTTGTGAACTTTTCTGGTCAGTGTTGACCTTTTCCTGTGAGGATCCCAAGCCTGAGATCACAGTTTGTATAGCAGCTTCCCCACAGGAATGTAGGAACAATCTGTACTTGAAAGATGCAGATTCAACAGCCAAAGAGGGCATCTGCTGCCCCCGTGTGGAGGATGTTGAACAGCTCACATCCTTGTCTGGTGCTGTGAAATGAAGTGCATCCCAAGTGTAGAGTGTTCCAGGCCAGGCAAAGGAGAACCAGTGCAGTCCCCAATCCACAGTGACAGCAGCCAAGACCAACAGAGCAGTGAAAAGCATTGTGTGTGGAGATAAATTAATCTCGTGGTGTAGGTGCCACGTCTACCTTTTAAGGAAGCCAGGCACAGAGCATACATAAGCTATGTAATAAAACCCCAGAAAAACTACCTCAGGTTGTCCAACTCCTCAGAATCCACTACACAGCTCCCAGAACAGAGAGAGGACTTGATGCGCACACACTCACTGTTTACCTGAGAAGCAGCAGGCCATGGGTTAGGGAAGGCAGCTGCCCGTGAGGAAAGCTCAGATCCTCCACACCCACAGAAGGTAATGACTTAGTTACCTGGAATACAGGCCTGCTGGGGCCGGGACATGAAGTAGCAACTGTCACCAAGGGAAACACCTCCCACCAGCCACTACAGGATAAAAATTAAATGAACCTAGGTAGTAGCGGGCTTCCTCTGTTCTGCTAACTCCTTACATTTAAAGATATTTCCTTTTTAATGCAGGCTGGGTCTGATTCCTTCACTGCAGGGCTCACCATTTCTTCCTTAGTTTAGAACTTTTGCTGTTTGTGGCACCGTCCTGGTGGGCAGAGAAGTGAGATGACCATAAACTGAGTATCGACCATGAACGTCCCATGTGCATTTTCTCCTTTTTTTTCCCCCTGCATAATCACCAAGGTGCCTGCTACTCTTCCCTGCTCTGGAGAGCACATAGAGTTATAAAGCTAGTGTGTCCTTTGCCGCCTGAAGTCTCTGGTCATCCAGCTGTCTTAGTCGGTATCAGAGAACTCACTGTTGTCTTCTGCTGATGGAGTTCAGCGAACTGTGCTGAGAACTGCTCATGTTGAAATAGACCCTGGACATTCCGTGGGCGCAGGACAAAACTGCACTCAGTCTGCCTGGAGAGCAGTTGCTCCCGTTGCCTGTGTTAGTAGAGCGCTGTGGCCGCAGTGGAGATTGTATCGCATGGGAGACTGAGGCAGGAGGATTGTGAGGCTCATGCTGTACAGAGTTATATAGAGATGCATGCTATCTCTAAAGGAAGAGAACACAGGAGAAAGGAAAGGAATGGCATAAGAAGGAAGGGGAGAGGAGGAAGGGAAGAGGCCTCATGTCTCACACCTTAGACAGAAGTATCCCCGGACCTTTACAGAGAGTTTCATCATGGTATGGTGAAATATCCCCTAGAGAGCTCTTCTCCTCAGTATGAGTTTGAGCATTCCAAGACCACCAACAACGGAGTAAGGCAGGAAATCATCAGAATAAACCTCGCTCCGATGCTCTCCTCCTGCACACACAAGGGGAAGTAAGAACTATTCATTCGAGCCGGCGACATTTCTGCAGGCTTGTGAAAGCTTGAATCACTAAACTGAGTTGGAAGTTTTAACCCTCTGGTTTGCTTTAACACAATCTTCCTCATCATTCTCTTCCCCCTCCAGGGACTAGAGACATGTGGAGAGCTTACTCTGACATGAGAGAGGCCAATTGGAAAAATTCAGATAAATACTTCCATGCCCGGGGAAACTATGATGCTGCCCAAAGAGGCCCAGGAGGAGTCTGGGCTGCTAAAGTGATCAGGTAACAGAGGTCTCTGTGAGCAGAGTTTGAGTGCTTTGGACAGTCAGGAGGGGGCTGTTCTCTGCATCCTGTGCACACTGCCTGTTAACCTTCCTCTTTCCTGTGCTTAGTACTGGGAGTGGCTGGCAGCAACGCCTGACCCATCCTCTCCCCCCTGGGGGGCTGCTCGCTCAGCATGAGGGTGACATCCTGCACTGAGCAGGCGCCCACTCAGACAGCATCAGTACCAGCCTCTCCTTCCCTGCCTTTCCCGGGCTCCTCTCACAGCCATCTCTGGGAGAGAGGGGTGCAGAGGATGGGGCTCCTGCCTCCAGTTTGCTCATGGCTCTTCTTGTCTGTCTTGATTACAGTGATGCCAGAGAGGGCATTCAGAGGTTCACAGGACGTGGAGCAGAAGACTCAAGAGCTGACCAGTTTGCCAACGAATGGGGCCGGAGTGGTAAAGACCCCAACTACTTCCGACCTGCTGGCCTGCCTAGTAAATACTGAGTTTTGTCTTCATGTTGTTCCCAGCCATGCAGCCCCCAAGGAAAGAGGCAACTGCTGAATTGAGTTAGTTCCTAAAATCTGGGTGTCCAAGCACCCCAATATATTAAATAAATAATTGTGAAATGCCACGTGTCATTTTGAAAGATCAAAGGGCAGGTATTTTGAGAATCATGGGCCATGGGAATCTCCAGGAAATCCTGCTGTTTTTGTCTTTTTTAAGAAAGAGAAATTAAAAGATAGGAATTGGAATAGAACTGAATGTCTGTACATGGGCTAAAAAAGGTATTATGTATTCCATCAAAAAAGGCAGATAACAAGGAAGCCCTGTATATGATTTCAGTTATGAAGTTAGGAACTAGATAAAATCCAACACATTCTGGGCTGAGGATGTAGCCTAATAACAGAGGGATTGCCTAGCATGCATGAGGCCCTAGCTTCCATCCCCATCCCCTCCCCATGAAACGTCAATAAATTCTTACTTAACAAAATATAAAAAATACTGAAGGCAAAATCAAAACAATCCTGTAATTGTTTTAAAGGATTCACACATTCCTCAAAGAAAGTCTCAGAGCTAGATGTTTCTATACATAATTTTAACCCTTAAAAAAGGCAAGTCCCTGGCATTTTGTAGAAATAGTTCTGGGGAGAAGATGAAATACTCTGCAGCCATTTTCTCTGGGTCAGGAAATCTCCCTACCCACAAGCCTGAAAGAAATTATCAAAAAGCAAAAGTACACTGATGTATGGTGGACTGACTCCTGCAGAGACCAGCTCCAGACTTGAGGTACAGCCTGGGGCTGCCGCCTTTATACAATCCCTGAAGATTCTCAAATCTTGGAAATTGGAGTTGTGTTATTCCATGATGTTTCTTTACCAAACCGCACCCTCTCCTGGGTCACACTGGCTCGGGTAGTCCTTTTCAGTCTAGGCAGCTATGTACTCTTTCATTAGCTGCCTCCTCAAATTCTGGTCTCATGATGGTCACTTCCTGGCTTCAGTGGTCTAGTCCTATGGTTCTTATATCTCTCACTCTCCCCTTCCCTGAGACATAAATAGTTTCTCTCATGGATTGATGGATAGATAGATAGATGGATTGATGGATAGATAGATAGATGATAGATAGATGATAGATATAAATTCTTGCCGGCTGAGGCCAGGTCATGTGGATTAACATAACCGGAAGACAGAGATGATCCAGCAGAAGTGTCCAGTTTCACCTTGTCCAGTATAGTGTTTTTGAAGGCAGCAGATGAGACAGATTCCTGGACAGCCAAGGTGTGCAGCTCCCACATGCAATCCAGGAGGCCTCCACAGGATTGAGAAGCAGGGAGCAAAAACCCTCCACTTCCCAGCACATGAAAAGCATGATTGTGGCCCTACTAGGAGAGCACACATTATCCTTGAGCTGTGAAGGATGCTGTACTGAAACTAGTAGTATCTTGGCTGCCCCCAGGAGAGCCTGGGCCTCAATTCAGCCTTCCAGTCACCTCGAAAGTCCCATATTTATATCATCATCAGCTAGAGTAGCCTGGGCTTAAGCATAGGCAGGGCCACTGCCACTGAGCCCTATGACAGCATTGATCAAATCTGCCTGCACTTCTGGAGGAAGTGAGCTGTCCCACGAGCCTGCCATCCTCCATCTGAGCATGAGTGCATGTGGCATACACAGTAAGCCCCTCCCACAGCACGACTTGGGTGTTGCCTATACAGTGGATGACGTTGGAAGCTGTCAGCTGCTTTTCAAGAGTGGATGATGACAAGGGTCACAGAGGACACCACAATGTGCCTGACCTCAATGTTATCACCAATTTCATTCAGGAAGTAGGGATGATGTGTGGCTTCATAGTCAGGAAGAGCATATCATTGAAGCACACTGTCTCTTTGTTGTGGGGAGTCATGTTCATCCCTGTCCTCCAGATGGCAGAGCATGTGTCTTGGACCACCTCTGGAGAGATGGGCATTGCCCTATGAGCAGCCAGAACAAGACCTCTGCTTTTTGCTTCTGTGATGCCATCTGCTCTCCCCTCTCTCTAAAGCAGTGTTTTGGTGTGTAGTCTAGGACTGCCTTCAAGTATTAATCTTCTATTCTAGCTTCTCAAGTGCTGGGATGATAGGTAAGAGTCAACATTCCAGGTTATTCCAGGTTCCCTTTTTTTTTTTTTTTTTTTTAAGATGGTGGCAGGATATGATATGTTACCCAGACATACTTTAACTTCTGGGCTCAGGTCATGCCCCATGTCAACCCCTCAAGTGCACACCACCCGGTTGACTCAGTTCTAAACTTTCCTCTCTCCTTGCTTGAAGTTTCTACCCTGGGACTTTGTAGCTCAATACACACAGAATATCCCCGTAGCAGGCCTTTCCCCACAGCCAGGTTCAGCCAGGAATGTGAACATCATTTACAACTGGGGACCTCCATTAATCCTCAGGCACCAGCCCAAATACAGTGGATTCTCGGCTTCAGCTTCCTGGAGCTAAGCCTTTGGGACCCTCATCTCCCGGGTCCAACGGCAGCTGGATTAGACATGGCCCCTTTTCTGTAACCCACTCTCATGTGGTTGCCTGTCCTTTCTGTTGGGACCAGCTAGTCCCAGACACCCTGTGCCTCCTTGCAGATATATAATCCTCCACCAATGGACCCACTAGGCATCTGAGGAAAGGATTTCTCAGCTGATGACACGCCAGTTTGTTATTGAACTGACTCACCAAACACTTGTACAACTTGTCCTCTCCTTTCAGATGAACAACAACAAAAAAATCTCCCCCTTTCTGAGAAGTATTTCAAAGCCATGTATCCTTGCTCTCTACACATTCCTCCCTCTAGAAAAGGAGGGGAATCTCACCTGAAGCACAGTGTCCCTAAATCCTGTGTCCCCATAGCACCCTGTCCAGGCCTTGCTGACAATCAATTTGTCTATATCAGAGTTTGGAATGAGTGTATTTGACATCCTTCTCTAATACTAGGTGTCAGCTGAATGACTTGATTGACAGCTCTACTTCCCATTTAGGTCACCCGGGGCCACTAGGTGAGCACAGTTCTCATTCTTATTTTCCTATTCCATTGGATTCTTACACTTTGATTACTCCACCCCTTGGCAACTTTGGGCATAGACAGCTTAAATCACACATTCAAGTCATACAGGTAGATTGATGCTACACCCAACATCGTTACAAATAGCAATTGTATTGATTGACATTTTGGGAACAGCTTTCATAGGCTAGCAATGTATCTCAGCCACTGAGTCATTTCCTATCATGTCCAAGGATCAATTTCTAGGACCTCGGGGGAAAAAAAGACAACACAGCACACACACACACACACACACACACACACACGCAAAACAGCCATATACTTAAACATAAAATGAAAAACAAAACTACTTGCAAAGTACATAAAGCTTTGTTTCTTAAGTGCACTAGATCAAGCTGTGGAGTAGAAGTTTGTGTGATAATGGAAATATTCTACTGCACTGTCCCCTAGCCACTAGTCACATGTCATCACCAATTTTTAGTTACAAACTGACTTTTAGGGACCAGAGAGATGGCTCAGGGACTAAGAACAGTTGCTGCTCTTACAAAGGATCTAGGTTCAATTCCTAAGCATCTACTTGATGTAATTCTAGTTCCCGGGGATCTGATGATCTTCTGGCCTTTGGGGACACCAGACTTGCACATTACACACAAACATATATGTAGACCAACATTTATTTCTTTGTCACCTTTACAATTTTTTTTTATTTTTCATGTTTGTGAATTCTTGTTAAATTCTTTTTTTTATGATAAAATGTTATTATTATTATTATTTTTTTTTTGGGAATTTGGGCGTCGTTCTTTCCAAACTACTTCCTGCTGGTAGGGGGCGCTGTCATGGGGGATTCGAAGAAGATTCAGAAATCCTGGCTGTAGTCTGTAAGATTGCTTTGTCCAGCTGTTTTGAATGTAAGATCACCTGGTACTCTGTTTCAGGCGGTCTGGCGTGATCAAACCATATTAGTCTGGAAGGAATCCACATCTTTTCATTTTCTGTGGAAACAAAAATAGAAATCCTTTTCCCCAGTAACTTGTCCTTCAACTTAAATTTTGGAGTCAAAGCATTTTTTTTTAATTTAATTTATTATTTTACATGTTGATCCCAGTTCCCTCTCCCTCCCTCCTTCCCAACCTTCCTCACTCCCTCCCTCCCTCCCTCCGTTCCTCCCTTTTACCCTCTCTGCCCTCTCACATGCACTCTAACCCCCCTCCCATCCCCCCACCCCAATTCCATATGTATAATTATACTGGGGGCATTTTTTAAATCATTTTGCTGACCCTCAAACATCTCTAAATTCATACAAATAGACATGATAGAAGTAGCTATATGTCAAGTCGGAACTATGTCATGTCTACATTAACTGAACCATGGATTATCATCAAAAGGATTTTGTGTACTAATTTAAAAAAACCATACAAACACACACACACTAAACATCCATCATGAGCCTTTTGCTCATTTTCTCTTTTTACCTAGGAGACAGCTCTGAACACTTGTGTTTCCAAGATACTTGTCTTGTTAGTAAATGGTCAATTGTATACACACCAATTGTACACAGACAACGACATAGTAAAATACATTCAATTATTGTTTCACTAAGCTCATCTTCTTTCTATCGTTCTAGAACCACTCTCATGTATGCGGTGAAATACGACAGCCAGGACCTTGTTTACCTGGTACTCACAAAAGGAGTAGTTCTGTATCAGCAGGACCAATATGGATATGACGCTTTAGATTATGTAATATCAGGACATCGCAGTGAGACCAAAGGGTCACCTCCTGCACCACACCCTTCACACTCTGCCTGACATTCTGAATACCTACTTAGCATGGCACTCCCCCGCCTCCTTCAAACATGGCCAGCGATCCTTGTACCGTGTCCACTTCTGTGCTTTCTGACATGACTGTCTGCCAGGAGCAGTGATTTGCTTCATGCGTGTGGCCACACAGCAAAAAGAAAGGGAAACGGTGGACGGGCATGCGATCTCAATGGATGGACTAGGTCAGTGTGGAGCCATCTCGGCGGCACTCTGGATGTGAATGCGTCGCCTCAGGCCGACTGTCTTATCTGTGGAGGGAAGAGGAGCTCAGAGAAGG